CGTGAACTTTCTGAAACAAACAAACTCTATATATACCTTTCACGCTGTAACAAAATGTGGACCAACATTTGTTCGCCGAGTGTTGTGTGTTTCTAGAAATCGTGTTCGTACAACACTTTGTAAAATCACGTTTTGTTAGGTTACGATTAGACTTACTTATGTTGGGCTAACTTCGGTTAAGTCAGATTAGGTTGGGTTAGATTAGGTAAGATTAGATTAATTGCAGCTTAGGTTGGTTCAAATTAAATGTTATGTTTGTTATTTTCAAAAAAGGCAACTATAACGTGTAATTTTTTATATTTTTGTATTTATGAAAAACTCGAAAAAACATTAATAACTTAAAAACTATCGTGACTGAAGTATTAAGTAATGAATCTGCAAAGCTTACAAGGCTAAACAAGCTATTCTCGCTTTGCTTTCAGTCATATAATATTAACATGTATAATACCACGTTTTTCAGCGGATTGTCAGGCCTAACGAAATAAGAAACTCTTTAGTTCAATGTAAGCATTACATTATAATTTTCATCGCATTAAATCAATTTCAGCATATTTGACAAGTTGTAATAAATTTTGTTTGTTTGTTTGTTTATAGTTAAGCACAAAGCTACACATTGGACTATCTGTGCTCTGCCCATCACGGGTATCGAAACCCGGTTTCTATTGGTAAATGTCCGCAGACATGCAGCTGTGCCACTATTTTTGGAGTATGCTTAAAATAGGCGGTTCAATGAATAAAACGTCTTTAAGAGAGAAAATAAATATAATTTTAGAAATCTAACTTAGAATCCGGGTTTCGATACCCGTGGTGGGCAGAACATAGATAGCCCTTTGTGTAGCTTTGTGCTTAACTACAAACAAACAAGTAAACAAAAAATCTAACTAAGGAAGATTTGTTTTATATTTTTATTGCAGCTCAGAAATATAAACGCTCATTCTAATAGCTGAAAATATCTTTACTTCTGTTTTACACCCTATTTTAATTGGTTCTTTTTACTTGTACTTGGTGACAAACTTAAACTATTATGAATAATATTGAGTTTATTGAGACATAATTTGTATTATTTCTTGAGGTTGAAAGTAGTCTCCCGATGGCACAGTGGTACGTTTACGGACTTACAACGCTAAAATACGGGGTTTGATTCCCTGCAGTGGATATAGCAGATATCTTAATGTGACTTTGCTCTAAAACAAACAAACAAGCCTAGAAGGTAATTAGAAACAATTCCCGAGATGTCTAGAGAAACCAATTCCGTGTATAACTTCAGACACGTGCTGCTTAAGATAGAAAATGAGAAAAATGGAGGAAAGGAATACATAGGAACGGAAGGAGAAGAACAAGAGTTTTAGTCCATATGGAATCCACAGAAATAAGAAAACAGAATGGTAAATGCAACAAATAAGCCGAACACAGAAGTAACTCAGATTAAAATACGTGTGAAAGTAACTTAAGCACTATTAATTTTCTTATATTAAAAGAAACACCTGCTCTTATAGTTCTGGACATTTTAGGTTATTTTGGAGAGTTTTTGTTTGTTTGTTTTTTCAGGTGGTATAGCAGTTTTTTTTTCCAGTATTTACTAGTGAGTCTAATTAGAGTATCATGTAAGCCATGATGAAGGAGATTAATAGCAACGTATGACGTAAGTTTGGGAAATTTGTTTATGTCATATTACTGCATTAATACTATTATACATCCGCATAAGGTATACCGCACTTTCAAATGTAAACGGTCTAATAATATCATCATTTGTATAAGGTATACCACATCGTTTTCAAATGTAAACGGTCTAATATTATCATCATTTGTATAAGGTATACCACATCGTTTTCAAATGTAAACGGTCTAATATTATCATCATTTGTATAAGGTATACCACATCGTTTTCAAATGTAAACGGTCTAATATTATCTCATTTGTATAAGGTACACCACATCGTTTTCAAATGTAAACGGTCTCATATTATCATCATTTGTATAAGGTATACAACACTGTTTTCAAATGTAAACGGTCTAATATTATCATCATTTGTATAAAGTACACCACATCGTTTTCAAATGTAAACTGTCTAATATTATCTCATTTGTAAAAGTAAACGGTGTAATACGATTACAATCCATATAAAGATGATCTAGTGAAACCACAATCAAGGAAAATGCTCAAAGAAGTCAATCTCATGGAACATAAAACCTAATGTAACATTCTTTATATTTTGTTGTTACGACCTTCCGTCGTGAATTATGATTGCATTTTATTGTCAGGTTATTGTGAAAACGTATTTTCTTTAAGTAAACCATATTTTGGAACAAAACAATGCATACTAAGTTATCTCTGTTATTTCGTGTTTAGGTTTAGCATCTTTACGTTAAACGTACTTAACTTATACACACATATTTTCGATCTGTATCTACCTTGTTTATGACTAAAAGAGCTAAAAGGTAGTTCGAGACCACCTACTGACCTCGATTGCATGAAAAGTGCATTTACTCATGCCATCCATGCTCATCTCCCACCACTTACCTGTTCATCTTTTATTTTCTGTGTAATCTGTAACAACTTTCTCCTTGTTCCTGCGTGACAACTATAAAAGAAACAAAAAGCGGTTTTGACTTTTCCTCTTTCGACACTGATAGCTGTCAGAAGCTCTCACGTTCTGATTTTACCAAATGATTGTAAGAAAGGAAATCGCTGACAGTAACAATAACAAC